TTAGCGCTCTTTCGGCGCCTTCGCCACGACGGAACTTTTCAATCGTAATTTACCTAACGTTAGGAACACAATATGCCTCTGTTGCCACTTTTATTTAAAACTCGAGAACTTTTACTTGGAAGTTGTTTTCAAAAGACGACCGCGATTCATGGTCGTAACGCACTCACTTTTTTTTTAATCTAATTTTATGATTTCTTTATTCTTAATTATATATTCCGATTACACGCACACGCGCATTATGTTGATCGTTCGTATGGAGTCTCGTTGGAATGAGTATATTCGCAAAATTGCTTTCGCCGATAGATCTCACCGTTGCTCGCGAAGTACAACGACAGTCGAGCGACACAGATTAATGACAAGAACGAAGATACTACACGTGCCGCTATGCGAAGACGGTGTGTCACACAGCGAATTTGAAAGCCCTGCTCGACCAGGTATGATTAGTGATAATGCGCTTATTTGGAACGTACGTACAGGCACGTTTTCGTATAAGCCGAAGCTTACATTCCGCGAACGTAGCATGCGCTGATCCGCATGGAACGAATGAATAATAATGATGATATATACGCAACACATACACACGCGCGCACATATGTGGAAGCTAATCCCGATTCGGCAAAATTTGCCAGCTCGATAATCTGATATCAATTTGAATTCGTAAAAAACACTTGTTATTAAACACGTCGACGAGATCACCACTTTGGTACTTCGGCGAAGCGTACTCGTGTGTCCGAAGTACCATCTCTGTCGCGCTCTTACGCAATTGAAACCACTTTATCTTCGCGCGGATAAAATGATTTCGGGTATATTACACGCGCCGCAGTGTTGTGATGGTGTCGATTCAGCTGTAAATATGCAACATATTTGCACATATTAAGCGACGGGGAATTAACATTGCCGTCGATTCAACAATTCCCAACGTGTTGTTTGCGCAATCTATTATAGATAACATAATTGTTAAAAATCCCCGCTATGCATTACTTAGTTTTCTTCCAACGGACAGAATAGATAGCAATAGGTTGCAATAGTGATTCAATCGATAGGGCAAGGTTAAGTATATCGGTGAAAAACAAGGAAATCTACGTCGCACTTGTCTCCGGTCGCGTGCAATTTTTTATGACTGGATCAGTGCAGGTGCGATTTTACATTGATTGAAGGAGCGCTTTCCGCCTGAGAAAAGATCTCTCCAATTTTGCCTAGTCTATAAAATCGAACTCTACGATATACCATGCATATGGTTCGAACTTGAAAAATAAGTTAAAAATAGTATACATGCAAGAAATGTACACAATAATTATCATTGTATATACATTTTTTAATAAATAACTATAATATATTTACAGTGTGGTACATTTAAATTGAGACATAGGAAATGACTTTGAATCATTGACAATACAACGAAATTAAGATCACAAAAATATTCCCCCCTCCAAACTTTATAACCTTTGTCTAAAACACTTCTCTCCATTTTGCTTGATTTTTATTATATTAAGATGTCTCAATTTAAATGCCCTACTTTGTATATTTATTTTTCTTTATTTGCTTATGTATTTAAGATAAATATATCAAACTTTCAGTATATGTGTATAAATAAGCAGTATCGATTTAGGGTGGCTTGTCGCGTCAAAGGTCATCCATTTCAAGAATAAATTCGAGCACTCCACTTTCGCGTATCGTATTTTGGAGCATTCGAAACACCGTTCTGGAGTCGGGTTGATGTATACGCGGGGAAATTTCGCAGTAGTATCTCGACGGAAATTCACGAAAGAGTGCAAGCCGCGCATGCATTACAGGCGTAGCATTGTGCGCCGCGTTTCGATTCAATCCCCGTGGCGCCATTCAACGGGGGACGTTCGTTCATACCTGGATCGAACGAACGCGGTGTTACAGACGCCGTAAGAGTGAGAGGCGGTGTTGCTGGCGCGTGAAAAGAAAACATATGCTAATGAATCAATCGACAATCTCAGCCGGTAGGAAGGAAATGCGCACGTACAGTGCCGTACCATTTCCTAGACACAGTGATTTCGGAAATTACGAATTAGGCGTATCATTTCTGAATATTCGTGCATCATGCTGATTATTCTATGAACTGGCAAGGATGCTCCAAAGCAGCAATCATAATGCATGAACAGCCAGATATGATGCGCCTAATTCGAAATTTCCGATAATCACTATGCATAGAGAATGGGATAGAATTAATGCACGGCATTGTGTACTCAGCTTCATGTATGCCGTCTCCCGAATCAAAAGTTACGCGATTTTCAACTCTACACATATGCGCGTAAGATCGGAACCATTGTAACTAGAGTCAGTCACTGTAATCCTATCGTTCCAAATAGAATTGCTCATGCGATTTTCAACCTTACGCGCTTATGTGTAAGGCTGAAAATCGCGAACTCTCGGCCCAGAGAGTAAAAATTTGCTAAGGAGTGTTAGAGTAATTATTTACTTGAATCCAGCATCTTTTTCTATGTACACCACGCTGATAGCACGTGTACGATACATCTTGCGTCGTTTTCACGTTTGCACTTCGATTCGTCTCTTCAGGGTACTCCGAGCGACTTTCCGTTTTTATACCGAACAAATTGCCTCTTGACCGACGCGAAGATCATTTCGTTCGAGCCGGGGGTAACACGCAGGATTACGCATCGGAGTGATATTTTCGAGTTAGAAACTTCCGAGAGACTTGCGAGGTACTTTTTCGCCGACCAATTAAAGACTAAGCGGTTTTTGAGTGACATTGATCTTGATCAATTTCTTACGGGAAAGAGTTCCGTGCGCGCTCGAACTTCGCCGAGCACGAAGACAGCCCCGCGGAAACTTTAAAGTGCCTCGCGACTTTCGCGCACTAACAATTTTTCTTCTCGGAACAATAGATTGCCATAACGAGACGGCGTTTGGGCGTACGCGTGAAATCGCCGCGAAAAATCGCGCTGATGACAGTTTACTCGCGTGCTGCACGAGAAAACAAGAGACCGCCTCGTCGCGTGTGCCGACGTGTACAGGACGCGTACAAGTTGGCCCGGAGAAACGCCGGAATCTCGAGATTCTTTCGTGGATTTTTCGGGGTAAATTTGATCCTCGAAACGGAAAATTCTATTAAAGCACAGTTTGCTCGGTATTAATTAAAAATTAAATTTACGCGACGATGAGGAGCTTGACAAAACCCCTCGAATTAACACACCTAACTGTAGAAAAGCTTAAAGAATACTAATTATGAAAGTATTAAACATTGTTTGACTTTAATTTCCAAACGGTGGAATATCGTTAAAGGCCAAACTCGTCGAAAGAAGCCGGCTATCGCGCCTTCCGTGGGCCGCCCTGTATGCGTACGCATGTGCTTCGCACCTTCGTGCCGGCGAATTTTCATGGCGATTATCGTTCTATCATAATAATAATAAAGAAAGAAACACGAGACGGCTACTATCGCACGAGCGAAATAAACGACCATAGTGATTAGTGAGAATAAATTTCCCTCTCATTCCCGCCAGTAAAACCGGGCTCACCGTGTGAAACGTTTCTGGGATTCACTGAAAAGTCTCAAAGTAATTATGTATCAGGAGAAAAGGAACCTGAGAAAATGTTTGCTACGAGTAGTACTACCGTTAAAGCACACCTTTCCACCGCCGCGTTTTTCAATTAGACCGTATATGTAATGTAAAAGGCATGTATAACAGTAATCGATACGGTCGGTCGACCCTTTTAGCCATTCGCAAACTATCCGCGTATGAAATGAACGGATCAATATGAACACGTAATCCGGAGAATTCTTGCAGAAAATTATACATCACCCGCGAGTGTATACGCCACACGCGCAGAAATCAATTTGAAATATATTCATCGTGCGTTGGTTTCTCTTATATTTTACAATTCCGTATTTCCCGCTACATGGCTTTTATCGGCTCCGAGACACGTAAAATTTCCCTGCAAAATGGATGTGCCTCGAAAAAAATTGCTTTTCGAACGATACGGCTGACGGCACTATTACGAGTTTACTGCGGGATCGTTTCAACTGTGGATATATGGATTAAGTGTTAATGATTTACAACAAATGGTCGAGCGCGCTATTGCGCGAACTTCGTGTGAGTGTACGTTTATGCATTCCGCACACGTCAAGGCTTACCTTTTTTTCCACAATGGGTCAACCGTTCTGAGTCATCGCGCGTTAACATCAACAAGCTTGAATTTATCTTGTAATTCACGTAACACCCGCCTGCGCGCAAAATGGACAAAAATGTTTACTAGGTTTTCCTTTCTCGAGAAGAATGTCAGTCACATGAAAAAAAGAACGAGAGAGATTATAAAGCGGAGCTCTCGACATCTTTCTCTGCAGCGCGGGTTTCCTTTGCAGGAAACTACGAATGAAGTATTAGCGCGGTACATTTTGCAGTCACGGCGTTAACATCGTCCAGTATCGCACGCAACTTATTAATAATTGAGCTTTCGTCAACAACTCGTACAGTTGGAAATAATTGTATCACCTTTTTTTTTTTTTTTTTTTTTTTNCATAAAACATTGGAAATCCTAATAAAATAATGAAGGAAATTTTGATTATTCCGCGTACGAAAGCCAATCGCTGCAGTATAGATATAAATTAATATCCAACTTTTTCTCTTCGTATCACAACATTTTTTTTATTTCTCATTCAGACTATTATATTCACATTTGCGTTATAATGTTCTCTAGCATTTCGTCTAGTTAAAAATATTCTACATTCTTTTTCGCCCAGTAAAAGATATCAACCGAGACGTAGGAGCCTCCTAGTTTTACACATTATACAGACACAGGAATTACAAGGTATATAAAAAGTGTAATTTCACATAATTAAGGCAGTTATATCCTTCTTTCTTTATACGCCTGCGTTATACTTGCACAGAGAAGGGACGCTCAACAAAGACGGGAAATATCAAACGGCCCAGGAATCATTTTAACGTCATTTCGAGTTACGCTCGCTTACTCACTATTTCAGGATCGGATGCATACGAGTACGAATGAGCCAGTGAAGTTTGAAAATAGAATTTTATTAGCTACGTAGCAAAATACCTATTTATTTAAATATTTGGCGTCACACGATTACCAGGCTAAGATCGTTTATATTAATATACAATATGTAAAATGTGCCATATTGGATATGGGCAGTGTCCGTGGTAGAGTACATTAAACTTAGACTTCAAATACGAGAGATTCATACGAAAGATATAAATATATATTATTTTACATGCTAGAAGAGAGAGGGTAGTACGCGCTAGAGGCACTTGCTTGAATAGTTATACATATAAAAAAAAGTAGAGAGAACAAAAATAAGAAGAAAACACATATGGCAAAAGAGGCAGCGTTCGTGGGGAAGATGAAAGGGTGGTTAACGAGCGAGGAAGATGGCTCTCGGGAAAAGAAGTTACCGAGGACGGAGACGTAGAAGACGGTAAGGGGGGGGAGGGGAAGTCGGGCAAGAATAACGAAGATAAGACGTGGTTACGGAATACACCAGGTATAGAGGGAGAGACAGAGGGAGAAGATCACGAGGGAGGGACGCGTCGCTCTCTTTATTTCGATGTCGTCGACGCGGATCGAGCGAGTCCTTCGAACTTCCGTTCCGTCGTGTTCCATCGCGAGACGTTACTGCTCTCTTCTTCCTTGTTATCAGGGAGCGAAACCGGTCGTAATTTAGACGGGCCCTATTTTCCGTGCCACAGCAAAATGTATCTTTCGAGCGAATCGTCGCGTTTCCCGTCGTCTCGTGTAAACATGGAGATCATTTTCGCGTGTCGAGAGAGGGGAGCAGAGAGAGCGAGAGAGAGAGAGAGAGAGAGAGAGCCCGAGAACTCGACGGAATCACCGTCGACTCCGATACCCTGCTCGTTATATTCGTAGTGACAGTTTCGCTTCTGTTCTCGTGTAAAAAAAAAGAAACGGAAAAGGAAAGAGATGTATTGTTCATGTATGCGTGTACACGTGTATCTGTACGTGTGTAGGTGTTATGCACTTATACGTGTAACGTGTGTATGTGTAACGGTGGCGCGCGTAGTTTTACGTATTCTTTATACAAACTTGGCAGCGACTTATTCGGGACCTAAGATTGCCCGCCTTTAGGGTTTGCTTTTCGGGACTCCTGAACTGCTGGCCGTCTTCTATAGTTACCATCCAAAAGCTGTATTGATTAGTATAATAATGGCAGTGTCCTTTGGCGCCGTTGCACTCGATGAACGGTGTGGCGCGGAAGTCCTCCAGGCAGGAGCCAGGACTCGACAGGGACTGGCCGCCGCCCTGGGAACCTGCGCCGGTGTGCTGAAACGATCGTGAAGAAAATCAGTCGCCGAGAGGAGCGAGAGGGAGAGAGTGCGCTCTCGAGTGTGCCGAGTGCGCGATTCACGATTTCTGACAACTGAGCGGGATCAGAGCCAAATCCATATTCAATCCATATTTTTCTCGTTTAATTAAAGTATTGGAAATTGCGGATCGCCCCTGAAATGTCCTCGTCAGAGTGCTATAAAATTCCGATGAAGCGAGGACGTGTCGGATAAAATGGATCTCCCGTGACAGAAGCAATCTTTGCTCGCCGACAGATCGCGGCGATGAGAGTTTGCCTTATTTCGGACATGATTGATGCGATCTCTTTATATAGCAAATCCGAGGCGAATCGTGAATTTGGGTGTCAGGGAGGAGGCGATCGCGGAAAGATGAGGCTCTTTTGCACACTCGGCTATTTACACGTGTTATTAATGCACGTATTAACGCAAGCATAGAGTGGTGTAACGTTAAAGCGTCTATCCTATATAAATATTCACAGTTCTGTGAGGAACTCTGCTTCATTTTTCCTTGTGTTACAAATCAATCGACGAAATAAACATTCGGGAAACAAGGTGGCTCGCGTATATTACGTCGGACGGTCGAGTGAATCAAATTACTCACCATGAGAAAACTGTAACCGATCCAAAGGCCGGTCCATCCAGCCGGACATTCTGGAATGCTTATCGTTTGACTATGCACCGCTATCACGTTAGCTGGAACTTCGCACACCACGCACCTGCCGGAAAAATCGCGATTATCCTTAGTATCTGGTAGGTAAAACCCGCGCGAATAATTCGCTGAGTATCGTGCTCGCAAATTTTATACGTAAAAAAATATGCATATGTATTTTTTTCCTATACACACGTATATGTGAGAATCGAATTCCAGCCTGGAGGAGATATTAATGCCGAGTCTTTTCGATGACCGGTACTATGTTTATTAATTAGGCACTATTTATAGAATCACGCCATTCGTTTAATCGTCATCTATCTCGATCTACTCGACGATATGTTTGCACTGAACTATAAGGAACGTCGTGAATAAGAAAATATTATTATCGAATAAATTTGACTTCAAAGGTGTGTAGGTCCACTGCAAATCCTTTAATTGAAACGTGTGTTATTTTCAGACGTTTATGCATGTAGAAACAACGCACTTGGATTTACAGTGTAAGAGAACGTGACAAAGACTTGATCTTTTCGACTAATTTTCGCCGATCTTTACCGTGATTTTTAGCGGAAAAAACTTAAAAGACTTAATCGCGGCGATATTTAATATTGAAGATTAAAGACCGGCGTGCTGCGAATTTTTACGTCGAGGAAAATCCTAATTTATCGTGCGGCCGATAGTGTCGCTTCGCGACAACCTTCATAATTGTCCTCTCCCGAATGGAATGCGGCGCTCTTTCTTTTGCAGCCCGTGACAAATATTTCGACGGCATACAACGTGCAGAACGCGCGAGTGTCCTCTGGTCGTACCTGGAGATGTATTCTTCTATCGCCGACTCCTCGACGGGCATCATGGGAATTGGACTATTGGTCGATAGCCAGTAAGAGCGATCATTGCGACTAGCGTAATGGCAGACGTTGTTGACGTCGCAGAACAGGAAGGGTATCGTCGCGAACTTTCGTACGCATGAGCCGGCGTAACCTGTTTCGCGATAATTTATTGAACGAGTTAGATCAGCGCATGCACACCCAAAGGAATAAAAAAAAAACATCACACGTGCAGTGCTAACTTATCGTCACAATTTCTCCGTCGCTCTTTGAGATCAACAAGTCATATTAGCTTGCATCGCGATCGCGGTCGAACGTTGGAAAAACAAGAATGACTCTACACTTATCGGTGCGTAAATATGCGTTGGTTAAACAGTATGTAAACACGCAAAAATATGTGGCGCACTGCGTACAAACTCATTGAATAATGGATTTAATCGCCTATTAATGCGCGGCATCGTCACACGTGACAATTTAATCCAGATAATCGATATAAATCCATTAAATCTCTCTCTCTCTCTCTCTCTCTCTCTCTCTCTCTCTCTCTATCGAATTATGTTCATAGTAACTACGGGTAAGAAAGTCGTGACATATTCACAAAATCAACCTCGGGAAAATAACCATAAAACACTATTATCGAGAGAAAAAAATCCCTCTAAACATGATATCTTCTCTACTTTCTTCGTCAAAGCTCTCACATGGGAGCAAAATAGAAAAATTAAGAAAACCGGACATATAATATTTATAATCACACACTTCTTATTCAAGAAAAATTGGTCTACCTATGTTTAAATTAATTTAGCTATCGTCTACAGCTGCTTTAAAATTGTGTTGTTAAATTTCACAGTTGGAAAGTGCAAAATTTGTTTGTCTTTCTTTTTCTCTAACGACAAACTCACCTAAATCTTGAGAATGCGCCCTCTCGTCGCCGTCGGTATACAGCATACTGTATCCTTCCCAGAGCTTAATGTGTCCTGGCTCGCAGACCGGCACGAATTGGCTTTGACTGTGTTTGACCAGAAGGATACCGGTGAGATAATCAGGTGTTGTTTCGCAGGGTAAACCGGGCTCGCCGATAAGTCCAGGCGTACCGACAGGACCTTGAAGACCCTGCTGACCAGGTGCGCCGACCGGTCCGGGCAAACCTGGGAAACCAGGTGGACCGAAAGGACCAGGGATACCTTGTGCGCCTTTGATTCCGTCCAGGCCGGGGAAGCCCGGTGGACCTGTAAGTCCTTTCTCTCCCGGTAGGCCGGCTGGTCCATTCGGTCCTATGAAGAAGTTTATATTCGTGATTTCTAGCTCGCTTCACCTTTGTATTTTATAATTTATAATCGTTGGCACTATTGCATTTTTAGAAATATTCTTTTTGTTTTATCCGTACCCGGATATCCGCGATCTCCTTTGGGTCCCATTGGCGGCTCGATACAGTCTTCGCCTTTTTCACCCTTTTGACCCACATAACCGATAGCGCCTGTCAAACCAATTGCGCCAGGATATCCTCTGTCTCCCTTCTCACCAGGTGCTCCAGGTGGACCATTCAGACCGTCCCAACCCCTCTCGCCTTTCTCTCCTGGGAGTCCATCCAGACCACTTGGTCCTAGAAATTGACAATTCAACAGTTATATTGCTGTGTATTGTTACTATTTTTCTTTCTGCATCAACTATGAATGTTTCCGTTATTGTCTTAATATATATATAACGATAAATATATGTTATCGCAATAGTGATTTTATTTAGACATCTAAATGGCTTGTGAAGCATTTAATTTCACCTGTAAACCCGGGTTCTCCTTTTTGCCCTGGGGCGCCGAATAATCCAGGCGGTCCTTGATCACCCTTCGGGCCTATCTCACCAGGTATTCCCGGCACACCGTCTAAGCCTCGAGCTCCATCGCGTCCTGGTGCTCCAGTCAGACCCTGTGGCCCTGGTTCGCCCTTTTCACCTTGTGGCCCAACCGGTCCGTAAGGACCAACGTTTCCTTTCGGTCCAGGCAAACCGGGCAATCCCCGTTCGCCCTTCTCTCCGGGTCGTCCTGGCAAACCGTCTCTACCATGTTTACCGAGCAAGCCTGGTAGACCTTTTTCGCCCTTTATCGCGATTCCAGGAACACCAGGGATACCAATAGTTCCTGGTTCACCTGCATAAAATACAAAGTGTTTCGTAAATGTGTATAATATCAATAACGTTTCCATCGTATAGAATAAATAAAAAGTTACAATATATGGAGTTTTCTGAAATTTAGTAGTAGTGCAGTTTAATTACTTTTTCTCGATATGAAAATTCTTTTCATTCTAGTAACTTAAATAAAAAAGTCATACCTTTAGGACCAGTGGCACCATGAGGTCCTGGAAGTCCTTCAGGTCCCGGTGCACCTCTGTCACCTTTTTCACCATCGTAACCAGCGATACCTTCCAAGCCTCGATCCCCTTTTTCCCCAGTAATGCCAGGAGATCCAGGAATACCTGGTTCACCCTTTTCACCCTTGATCTGTATTGTTGGTCCCGGAGGGCCACGATCTCCCTTCTCTCCAGGTGCTCCCAAAATACCGGGCTGCCCAATGACTCCTGAAATTCAATTTTATTGGACTGTAGAATATAGTCTAATTTCAATTGAAAGTTTGGTTTCATTGAACATGCATTTTCATATTTCTATTGTAACCAAATCTGTTAAAATAATACTTGTCTCAGAATTGTTATATTCTTCATACCTAGTAGACCGCGTTCTCCTTTGACACCATCAAGTCCAGGTCGACCAGGGGCTCCCATTTCACCATCGAGTCCAGGAAAACCTGGAGGTCCTGGTGGCCCGACAATACCATCTTCACCGGGAATTCCATCTATGCCGGGTGGTCCTACTTCTCCTGATACACCCGGTAGTCCCTGTTAATATAATAATGACAGAAGAACAACATTATAACATTTCAATAATGTCTCGAATTACTCTTATGATTAAAGAAAAAAGAAGCACACTTACTAGGTCGCCTTTCATTCCAGGAAATCCTTGTACACCGGTGTCACCCTTTTGACCTTGGATTCCTTGGATTCCATCCAGACCTGGAATGCCTGGTTCACCCTTTAATCCGGGCCTTCCGTCACGACCAATACCTGGTTCGCCAGGTTCGCCCTTCGCACCGTCAATTCCATCTCGACCTGGAGGACCTTGTGGTCCTCGTATTCCAGGCATTCCAGGCTCACCTTTCTGTCCTTTCTCCGAAACTTGACCTGGTTCTCCTTTTTTTCCCTGATTACATAGTGATAGATATAATATATAATATGTTTACACATACAAACATATTTCTGATACCGTATAAGCATAATCGTAAGCGACTTTATTTCTAAACTATTGATATAACCGCAAAGATACTTACCGGCAGACCCGGTGGACCGATATCACCCTTTAATCCATCGCGACCGATAGATCCTGGTAAACCATACAAGCCTGATGGTCCTTGATCTCCTTTTAATCCACTTATACCAGGACGACCAGGCTTTCCTTCCATACCAGGCAACCCGGGGAAACCTGGCGAACCTTTCTCACCGCGTTCTCCCTTAATACCCGATGCACCCTCCCCACCAGGTATACCTGGAGAGCCAGGCAAACCTCGCCTACCGGGATATCCTTTCGGCCCATCGATACCTGGTTCACCACGATCACCCTTTGCGCCTGGGAATCCTGGAAGACCCGCTCTACCAGGTTCACCCGGTAACCCTGGCTCACCTACGGATCAAACAATCATCATTAGTATACTTCGTAGAATCAGTCGATGACGTTTCGATTACGAACAAAGTTTTGGAATATTCATGCATAAAGTGTAAGAATATCAGCAATATGAAAATCACGATGATCATATTGTACCTTTGCTCCCGTCGATTCCTGGAATACCAGACATACCAGGAGGACCTGGAGGACCAGCCAGACCGGTGTCTCCCTTTTCACCAGGCGCTCCAGGTAAACCGTTTATTCCCGGTGCGCCGATATCTCCTTTCTCGCCAACAAAGCCTGCCAATCCCGGATAACCAACTGGACCTTCTTTACCCGGCGGTCCGGGGAGACCTTTTTCTCCCTTCTCACCCGGAGGACCCGGTAGACCAGGACTGCCCTTGACTGATATGCCAGGCTCTCCTTTATCACCTTTTGGAGCTGGTGCTCCCGGGAATCCTCTAGGTCCTTCTCGACCAAGTTCTCCCGGGAAACCCATAGGACCCATGTTGCCTTTGTCACCGCGCGGACCTGGTAAACCTCTTGGACCGACAGGGCCAGGTGCACCAGTTTGTCCGATTGGACCGGGTGGACCCTATTTTTTATTTTTTAATTCCGACATTATCGTGAAATTATGTTATTTCATAAATGAATGATATTATTGTCAAGTATTTTTCCAAGATGTCTTGTTATCTCGGTCAAGTGCTTAGATAATTACAGAAACCACTCGTTAAGGTTTTCTGTAAGACTACTCGGTTATAATTCTACGCACCGCGAAACCTTGCAATCCTTTGTCACCTGGTGTTCCATCTACACCAGGAGGTCCGGGTTCTCCCTTCTCGCCAGTTAAACCTCGATCGCCTTTGAAACCCTCCTTCAAGTTAAGTAACGGACATTTGCCTAGATACAAGAAAATTCGAAAAAATAAATATCTTTCATAAATTTAAAACAATTCAAAAATTGTAAAAAATTAACAAAGTCTTACCAGGTTCGCCTTTGAGTCCGTACAGACCAGGCTCTCCTTTCTGTCCTGGAGAACCTGGTCGACCAGGCTCTCCTGGTTCGCCTTTCACACTTAGTCCACCCTCTCCTTTACGTCCAGGAATACCCGGTTTTCCCGGGACGCCATCTTGTCCAGGAAAGCCGCGATCTCCCTGAAAGTAATATGTTTATAACTCGATATGCACAAGAGAAAATATGTCAAAATGTTGATAACTTTCAAAATGGTCTTACTGGAATTCCTTTGAGCCCTGGAAAACCTTCGAATCCAGACCTACCCTTCTCTCCCTGAGGTCCTTCTGGCCCATGCGGACCTTGTCGACCTAGCTCACCACGTTCACCTTTGTCACCTTTCTCTAATTTGAGCATATTCCATGTGACTGTCGCTGGGGTTCCGGATTCTCCTTGAGGTCCTGGAGCACCGGGTATACCATCTTTTCCCTAACGAAAAATAATTACGCTATTATCTTGTAATTACCAAAATGACGCTAGTAAAAAATTTGAAGAATTTATAGAAATTTTAAGAAATTTAAATTTAATAAATAATTAATTTAATAAACGAATCAAGAACAAAGTATTATTAACATACTGGGGGTCCCGGAGGTCCGATCGTGCCCGGTAGTCCATCTATACCAGATTCTCCGGGGAAACCGCGCTCTCCAGGCGGTCCTCGAGGTCCCGTAAGTCCTGGGATACCATCTGTACCGCGGTCTCCTTTAGCACCTCGCAATCCCGGTAAGCAATCCTGACAACGACCGCCGATATCTCCCTTCTCTCCAGACGATCCCGGAAGTCCTGGTATGCCGTCTCTTCCTGGCGCTCCCGATTCTCCAGGCTCACCCGGTAAACCAGGTGCTCCTGGAATACCATCCAGAGAGTCTCCCGGCCGTCCTCGGACACCTGCGTAACCCCGTTCTCCCTTTTGACCCTTTTCTCCGTCAAAACCGGGCGTTCCATCTAATCCTTTCGGTCCCTATGACACAATATAATAATTCACTATTTTACAAGCGATTTTCTAATTATGTGAAAATCTGGAAAGAAATTTGATCATATACTTACTATTCTCGAAATTCCTTTTTCTCCTGGTGGTCCTCGTGGCCCCGCTGGTCCAGGCGGCCCGTCAAATCCGCGTAGCCCTACACCTCCCGGGAATCCGGTCAAGCCAGACTCACCCTTTGCGCCTTTCTCACCTGGCACACCTTCCGGACCCGGAATTCCTGGTAATCCGGGACCTCCTTGTATTCCTATGGGACCTCTTGGTCCTGGATCTCCCGGATAACCGTCTGCTCCTCGTGGTCCAGTAGCTCCTGGGAAACCACGTGGTCCTTTCGGTCCTGGCGGTCCTGGTCTTCCTTTACCACCCTGCAGCGTATTAAAGCGATATATGTATATGTGTGTGTATATTAAATATAGAAATTCTATTCCAATTGTATTAATATACAATTTTGTGAAAATTGTTACGTTACATTAAATTAAAAAATTTTGAAACTTACTCCTGGTGGCCCAGGAGGTCCTCGTAATCCTGAGACTCCCATCGGTCCATCTCGACCGGGTTCTCCCTTTTTACCTGGACGTCCGGAAAGTCCCTCCAATCCATCGATACCTCGATCACCCTTTCGTCCCGGAGGTCCGGGTGGTCCAGAGAAACCATCTCTGCCCTGAAATGGAAGAAAGACCAGTAGATTATTTCAATCAACCCACGGATTATCTAGTCCATTTTAATAAGATCGATTAATAACATCGTTCTTTTGAATGATAAAAATCATGAATAGCAATGTACTTACCCGAATACCTGGTGCTCCCGGGAGACCTTTTTCTCCCTTGTGGCCGGGCCCTCCGGGTATACCGTGATCACCTATGAAACCTGCCTCTCCTTTTTGCCCTTCCGGTCCCATTTCACCCTAAACATTATTCGAGTTAAACGATGCCGAAGCACGAGAAAGCCAATGATATTCCTTTACGCACTTTGTCTCCTTTTTGTCCCGCTTCTCCTTGCGGACCTGTTACTTCCCTGACACCCTCGAACGGCATGATAGGCGCGGTTGTGCCTGGAGGTCCTTGTTCTCCCTTTTGACCCTTGTCTCCCTTCAACCCTTCGAATCCAAGACCCATATTTCCCTTCTCTCCTTTCGGACCCGGTGCACCAGGAGATCCCTGAGTTTACACACATCATACGTAATCCGTAAGAACATTAAGAAAGAAAAAATCCAGACTCGGTGGTTATAAGCGATACTCACGTAAAGACCTCGTTCGCCCTTCAAACCAGGCGAACCTCGATCTCCCTGAAAACCAGGCGGTCCTGGAGGACCTCTCACACCGTCCATACCAGGTTCACCCTTTTGTCCCACCGGAAAAGAACCGGCGTACGCCGGTTGACCTTTATCTCCTTTAGGACCGGGCGTGCCTGGAATACCCCGAGGCCCTGGTTCTCCGGGGATACCTTTACGCCCGGGAGCACCCTAAGACGCATATTGTCAACGTGATATATTTTCTTGTGTTAATATCAATTGTTAATTATCAACATCGGATTATTAATCGATTATTAATCAAATATCGGATAAAATACTACATACAAGCTTAAAATATTACATATTTCAAAACACAATATGTGAATACAATACTTACATCCGTTCCGTTGCAGCCATCACGACCAGGCAAACCGGCTGGTCCCGGAGGTCCTTGCACTCCAGGTACACCGTTTATGCCGGGGAAACCAGGCATACCAGTTTTTCCCTGAAATAATGCAAAATTATTCCTCGAGAGAATTCCAACGAAAAACAATCATAAGCACGCGGAGGCGAAAATACGTACTCTGTCACCTTTGACACCGTGCGGACCCTGTGGACCGGGATCTCCTTTCTGGCCTTTGGGTCCTAGAAGACCTTCTGTTCCTGGAAATCCTCGTTGTCCCTTCGGACCCTGCGGTCCCATTACTCCAGGTGGTCCCTGAATAAGAAAATCATGATGATTAGACCGCTGACGTTTGACGAGACACCTCAAATGTCGCGTAGAGATTTTAAGAATGCCGTTGGCAACAAGCAGGAGGTAAAGCAGTTGTTAAATGCTGCGATCCCCCAAATATTCTCACGATCACCCGAACATTTTACTGTCGATCCGCGGAAACCAACCCGTGATCCTTTCTCGGCGAAGCACTTGGGCACGCAGCATCCCGATCCTGTGCAGTTCCCGCGAGACGCTCCCGGCATCGGTACCGCTTGATAATTGCTCGGGTAATTTTCGTTATCTTCTGCAGCACCACCGTAGCTACTACCACTGCCACCATAACTATGTCCGCCGCCGTAAGCGTCACCGCCGCGACCATAAGCGTCCCCGCCACGACCATAAGCGTCCCCGCTTCCGCGACCGTAAGATTCGCCGGTTCTACGGGAGCCGTAAGAGTCTGATCCTCGACCGTAAGGATCCGCAATATTTGTGCCGCGATCATCCTCGTTATCGTAGGTCGCGTAAGGATCTCTGCCGCCGTGAGGATCACCGGAACCTTGTTGTCCGCGGCCGCGATGGTAGGAGCCTGTTCCTCCTCCTCCTCGTTCACTCTCGCCGCCACCTGAAAGAAGGTCGTTGAAAACGATTCAAGATACACGGATAATTCGGCAGGGAAATCTCGGAAGCGGAAGCGCTGTAAATCGTAATAGTTAACAAAGTCAGGACCAATTACCGCTGTATGTCTCGTAATATCCTCCGTCTATCGTGCGACTATCGGGAAAACCACCCGGTCGATTTTCGTCTATTCCGGATCCTGACGCGCTGCCACTGCCAGAATACCTGTCCTCCTGCGATCCCACTCGATCGTAAGGATACCGGCTCGAGTAACCTTGACCATAAGGATCGCTCCGGTTTCTGTAGTAGCTCCACTGCCGAGTCCTCTCGTCGGGACTGTAATAATCAGTGGAACTGCTGTTCCGCCTTTCCCCATTCTCGGGATATCCTGGACATGCCAATCGGCGAACGTAATCGGCGAGATTCTAATGATACAGTTACCGGCATTTATCCCTATTATGAGCTGCCAAATTTCAGGGTACGATCAAATGCTCTGCGGCCCGCTGCACGCGACGAAAAAAAAATGGATATTCAGCTCGTAGACGAACAGTCTGCACGGAACGGCATTCGAAACGCATTTGGATTCCTTGATCGATTGTAATTTTATTCTCGAAGCACGACTTCTTACGTAAACCTTTTTACACCAACGTATGTTTTATGTAAATTTGAATTTTTTTTACGCCTTATACGCAACCTTCTTTTTTCACACGAAACAATGATTATCATATCAATGTTTATCACATGAAAATGCGACGATATATCGTGTTATTCTTCTCGCAAAGTCGCAGCTCCATTTTTTCATATTATTCGATGACGTGTGAACACCGAATAGATTAAAGAGGAGATGTAGCGGATACAATTCCCTCTATACTTCTCGCGCAAATCGCAAAACGGTATAAAGGAACGTGTTGTTCGACTACCTTCGTTATCCGTGATGAACCCTCTATTGGTATTCCATCCCAACGTATTGCTGTAATCATCATCGCTATCGCTACTATTTTCATGCCTTCCTGGAATATCACCTCGTCCTCCTAACGGCGTGACCGGCGGCGGATTGCTCGCCCATGATGTGTGATTATATTGCTAAAACAAATATTCAGAGGAATGAAAAGCTCCGTAAATGGGATTGGAAAAGTGCACGGCGCCGGTGCGATCAATAAAACGCGATATCAGCCGCGAACTGAGGGGTACAGGTGTGCGCGAGATATAGGGTAGAAAAAAAGAGGAACAACAAATTGTCATTCGTCAACCTCGTGGAGCAAAGTGTGTTCGAACAATAATATTCGCGATTAACGGGTGTGATAGAAAACCGCGTGTTCGGGGATTTCCAAAGTATATCTTCCGAAGCACCGTGCCATAAAATATCATATACAGGATATACAGCCGCGATTCCCCGGTTGCAAACAGCATTCTTCGTTTAACGGCCATTTTCAATAGTTCCCTGTAAGCAATATTCGATATCGAAATCTGTCCGGGGAACATCGTAATCCGACGATTCGCAATATTATATTCAGCGAGTGTGCCGTAATTCTCACTCAAAATCGTTTTCAAGCTGATCAAAGAATTGCATTGCGCGAAACACGAGCGTGAAGCTCGGTAAACGCGATCTCACGCTCTATATAGCAGCCGAGTCTAATTGTAGCGTTGCATCCCCGCGCCAAAATGCAATCGATAACATCGCATCCGCGCCCAATCGAGAGGGAGAGAGCCGAAAAAATCGATATCCCGAAAAAGAAGAAGTAGAAGAAGAAGAAACGGCAGAAGAGAGACGAGAAAACTATATTCTTCGGCACGCTCTAGCGATCGAATTTAATTGTAGCGTTGCACCCGCGCCAAAACGCATTCCATATTATCGTATCGCACGGTCGAGAGAGAGAAAGTTGGAAAAATCAATAATCTTCTTCCCCGGGGAGAAGAAGAAGAGGACAAGCGGAGCGTGAGACCTCGGATGGGGACGCGAATGAATGGAACGTCTGCTTGGCATTGAGTTTTTCTCGGCGTATCAATATGACGCGCTTCTTGCACATTTGACTCGGTCAGATCTCGCGATACAATATATTATTCATAGAATTAATAACGGCAGGCTATGTACGTGTCTTCTTAATTTGCAGAAGATTTAACAGCGAGATACGCGAGCGCATGCGAGTGACGGTTTACTCGTATAACATTAAGTCGCCCCGTTATCCCCCGCGCTCGCCCATTAAATGGTATTCTTCCGAGATTTATAGGTATGCGTTCCATGACACAAGCGGCGTGGCCGTAAATTTAACGAGCTCGCATTTCGCGCGGCCAAGATTTACGCTTTATCGACCGAGTGCATCGTTCTTACGGCCTCGTGGCGAACGGTACGGCCAGGCAAAAACGTGCGCTTTTACCGACCGATCCGCGCGACTCCGTGAAGAAGATAAAACCGCAGCGGCGTTAGTGATCACTTCCAATATCTTCATATCTTCCTCGCCTCGTTTCTTACGCCGGCACTCCCGATTTTACCGAGATTAATTGCGTTGTCGGATGGGAACGCTCGTAAGAATTCCGTTTCGCGGCGGGTGAGATCAGCGCGAAATTATTAAACTCGCGAGGATTCGTGGAAATAAATAAGGGAGCTCTTTCAGTCGAAACTTCAATCAGCCGGTTAGCACGACCGGAATTTCTTCACAGTCTAGCGCTACTTGTCTGATATTGCGGCGGTTCACAATTGCGAGTCGCCGAATCTTCCGTTCCGCTGAGAATGGCGAGGTAATGTATCACGCATAATCGTCGCGACGACAAGACCAACGCGATATTCAATGCGAGGGCAAGATCAACGGCAAGAACAAGCGACAAGATCTACGAAGTGGACGGTGCTTAACGCGCGCTTTCCTCCGTGAAGAGCGAGCACGGTTTCGCGGCAACGTAGCCAGTTGCGTTTAGATTCGCGTCGAATGCGTCATCGTTTTTCCCAGAAAGTCATTGTCTTGCCCTCGTTTTCACGTTTTTGTCCTTTTTTTTCGTATTCCCGGCGATGGCACGCTCTGGCAGGAAGCGCGGGGAGATAGGCGGTTATCGTTCCGAGATGCGCTCTCGGAACGACTGCGCGCGTCTGTGCCGCATATGCAACGCCTATAACGATAGCGCGACGATAATGTCCTTTTAAAGCTTCATTCATCGGCGCACACCGTGGGACCCGAAACGCGATGACTAGCCGTAGACAGGAGGAAGAAGACCGCGGGAGACCGAATTAGAAAACTATAGACCGCGCGCGCGAATAGGAATTTATGACGGAAAATCGGAACACTCGAAAATGTCGCGTGATGCGGTAGAGACCGCGATTGATTGCGATGGACTGCAATAACGGTTTGTCACTCGATCATTTTTTGTACTCTCGGGTTCGCGATTTATCGTAAACTAGGTATCACGTACAGAACGGGACGTATAAAAAAAAAACATAAAAAATATATATTGAAAAATACATTCGAGTAAATATTTGTTTTAAGTATTATGTAAGTTTGTATACTCGCAAGTGTATCATAAATTTATCACGAGCATCAAATAATTCAAAATATATTTTGAATCCTGGTAAGTTTAGCGTAGAAGACTCCACTAATGCTGTTCTATTTCCTAGGCGCGACATCGAACATTTTCAATCAGGAACAAATATTCGTGCATTACGACTGTTGACAATTTGATAAATTGCCAATGATATTCTAAAGCAACAGTCATAATATACAAATATGAAGAAATAACGCGCTTAATTGGGAATGTTCAATGTTACTATGTCTAAGGAATGGGACAGCGTTAATGGAGTTTTCTGTATTTCCTTCAAAATAAAATGTATATGTCGAGATATATTTTGATACGTTTTCGATGATTTCGCACCTGAAGAATTTTTGCACGCCTGCGAAATATCATTTCTTTCCTCCGGTGTGATAATCAATCGCTTGTTATTCTCGAGATATCCACGTTCGAGAATATTCGAAAGTAATTAGGACAATTCCAACTGGGATATTATTTTAAAAACCCGAAGTGACTGAAGGGCAACACATTTGGAGATAAGAAGAGCCATCGACCTAGTTCGAGAAGGGAAATCTGTTTAAGACCCACTTACAAGTTGTAAAGCTCGATCGCGAATCGGAATTATTGCCCGAAATTACCCCGCCGACTTATCTATCCGTCGAACATTAATCCCGCGTCTGATTCCAATTCAGATGGATTTGATTCATCATGAAATCCGATGATACGGAGATACGCCTCGTAAATCGCGTGCGGCCCGTGCCAAAGCGCGAAATCGCTCGATCTCGCTCTCTCTCTCTCTCTTGCCACCGATAGATTCAATTTCGACTTATTGCGCGCTCATACGTCATCCCCCTGTGCTTCGCGCAGATCGCGTGAAAGGAGGAAACAGAAATCAAAGCTGCGAGCGGAAGTAGCTCGTGTCGGCCGGTAAACGTAGCCAGACTGCGGGCTTTCGTCTCAATGATAAACCCATCGTTCAACAATGGATCGTTCGCTCGATACGGGGAGAATGCGACGCACACGCTGCGAATCTGCAAACCGTGAAATTATCCTGCCCGACGCTGTACGCGATTCATGAGTTATGCAGATGATAACTCCAGCCGGCGCGCGGCCGCTGTGATGCCGCGCCGGATAATGCGTGAATTAGAAGGCCGCTTAGCACTTTCAATCTTAGATGCGAATCGTTCAGGACACAGACTTCTTTTTGTGTAACGACATGTCGGCACGAAAAAGCGTCCAAACGAATAGATGCGCCTTACAATTGCGAAACGAAAAACGACATAGACGAACGGATGAGCCGAACATTGAGTATACACAGAAAAATACATACTGCATTCAAGTAAATATTATTTCCTGGGAAAAAATTTCCATATATAAATAGATATAATTATATATAATTGGATATAATTAAAAGATCGCTTTGTTCCTGTTTTTTTTTGTGTTATTTTCATATTTTCATATTTAAATTCATGAAAACGTTTGTTATTGAAAATTAAACGGCAGTCTGATTATTGAAAATTAAACGGCAAACGACGATAAGGTTCGGTAGAAATCACGTTAAAGAAAAATTGACCTCAAATTCACCGATTCGTGCCACTTCTAGGGTATCTCGTACATCGAGGTACAGTTAATGTCTCTATTAGTGAAAGGGTCCATAAGCGTACGGCCGCAATTTCAAAGATGCAATAGCGTGTTTCCACATTAGCCGAAGAGCTTCACTTGCCACTAGAGCGAAAAAGAGAGAGGGAGAGAGAGAGAGAGACCAGGTCGAAAATCATGCACATTAAGTTCGCAACGCGTGATACCACACCGTGACCATGCCGAGGTTAACGTCCCGCGAGCCAAACCAAGGCCCTTCGATACTGATCGGTCGATTTGCAGCCATTACACCGATGGTTGACGACGGACAGGCAATCGAGCGACCAAAGTCAGCGATCGACTCTACGAGATCGATCGGCTGATTGAAATTCGCTCGTGCGAGAACGGTCCATGCGTACACCAGCAATTTTCGTTTAACGAAACGCTAACCTAATTCTCCCTCCCTCTCTCTCTCTCTTACTTTTAGATACGAGCTATCTTTTCGTGACGGTTCAAGAATTGTCCCTTTTATCGCCTATCTCGGCCGCCTTCGTGAATCCGCGATTACGCAAGCCGTAAGAGTCGCGTATATTGTGGCCGGCCGCGACGACCGGTCCCCCATTCTGCGTGTCTCTCCTCGTCCCTCCCTCCCCCGACGACCTTCTTCCTCATCTTCGTCTTTTCTTCTTCGTGCTTCGGTCTTCTTCTTTTTCCATCGCGTCCTGACCGACCGACCTGCCCGTCCGCTCTCGCCCACCCGCTCGCGTCTCTTTTTCATCTTTCGCCGTCACATCCAAGTCAGACGTGCTTAACGACCGCGGCCGGTCGGCACGCTGACGTTAACTCTACGTGGGACGGGGCATACGCTAATTCGTTACTCGAGATTTTTTCTGATCTCGCGGCGGCACCACGCGTATTCATGAGCATAACACGCCAGCCGGTACGGCGGAGCCGGGCGTCGGATGGCGAGATTCCGATGCGTCCGCCGATTTTAATCTCGCTCGCTGAAGCGAGCGGGAATTTATCGGGGACGTTTAAGGGACGCGGAGAAATTTGGAATTCAATTAATTAACAGGAACGAGCCGGTACCGGGCCGTCGGGTTTATGAATTTTATAGTACCGACACCGCGATCACATACATGATACAAGTACTCTGTACCGTAATCAGGCGCTGAGGTTAAACTTCCGTTTGCTACTGTGCGATCCTCGATGAATTTTACGCCGGTGCGTAGCCAATTACACCGGAACGGGTAAACGAAAATATTGATCGCATTTTTTGTTCGGGTCAAATCCACTTTTCTCATTCAATTTTTACTGCCAATTAAAAATCTATCATTTTCTTTATCGTAGCTGTATTCCCCAAGTTACATTCAAACATGAAAAACCACATGACAACTCTGTAATACTGAGAGATATCCATATCGCATTGCTGATATTATCGGAGAAATGATTTGCGTGCAAAATTCCTCTATTAACGCGCGATATTCTTTGGACTCCAGATCCCAGTTTCAAATATCGCTGTTTCTGATGTAACAAGCAAACGCTCATTTCTCCGCGACAAACCCACCTACGCGACAAGAACGCTGAATGGACAGATTTGAAGCTCGCGGCGCATAATAGACAAGTGCAGGATGATTTCGCGGTGAGTATCCACGGGCGAATTTATGCGGACCAATTTTCCGTATTCCGCGGCACAAATTGCACAAAGATGGCGGGGCCGAGCTCAGAAGGAGTAATCCGCAAACTGATCGTCCCCCTTAAAATTTCAGAGCGGATGAAATCGCACGAAAAAAGAAGCTGTCGCGGGATACAAACGCGACGTGAACAGGTGGACGAGGGAGAATGAGAGAGATGGTTGCGATTTTACCCCGGGCCGCGCGCCCCCGACAGGATTCTGGCGAGTCTGCGAGACGGGGAAATCAAGTCCTGAGCTCAATTGCCGACTATTTCCAGTAGTGACTAAGCTGGCTCGCGTGCGCGTTGCACGCGCGCGCGTATGCGGCTGTAATAAAATTACAGCGAGCGCAGTTACGGCGCCGTAGGCGGACCGGTCAGTCGGAGACGACTGCCCTATTTCGGATCTAACACCTTTCCGTTCCTGTCGCGAGTCCTCGCCGATGAGGTAGAAAACCGGAGGGAGGGGCGCAACAATGGTAGGGGAATATATCCGAGTGCGATGGTAACTTGTGCGGATGGCCGTGTCGATTATCCTCGTTCGATAATTCGAAGCTTCGCAATCGAATATTACACGGTAAAAAATGTTGTGCAAACAACGGTCCACTGAAACGTTTGCGTTATTTTAACATAGGAATATGTTAAAAACAAATGCAAAATATGTGACGAATAAGCAAGTATGTGTTAACATATTCTTAACATTGTTAACATATTACATTTTAACATATTCACTTTTGTTAAAGCAACACAAACGTTTCATTTGAGCCGTTATTTGCACAAAATTGTTTACTGTGTAACATTATTCATTTACATGAACATAAGTGTAAATTTTACGGACTCTCTCTCTATCGATAGTTTATAGAAGCACCAACTTATGTGCGACAGCAGTGTCTTCTTTCATTTTTCACTAACTCAAAATCTGCACGAGATGTCCGAGAGAGAATTTCAGGCGGTAAACCCTTAAAGGAAGAAATCTCGAAAGAAATCTTGAAATCTGAAGATCCCACTAGTGCGCGCGCGTATCGCGAGAAGCATCGAGCTGAGACAGCGTAGCCATTGCTAACATAATTTTACGGGCAGACCCAAGTTGCTTCCTACTGTGCTATTTGGCTGCGGCCGAGCATCCCGAGGGTCGAAGAAAGGAAGGGCGGTGCGAATGGCTATGACAGAGGAAGCACCTGGCAGTCGGATGCTACTGTGTGAACGCACGCTGGCGAAAGACACTAAACGACCTTGTAAATCGCGTAAAACTCGCCGGTGTGGGCGAGATGCCGATCGCTCTGTCGCCGTGTGCAGCGTTATAACGCGCTTCCAACGTCGATCTTGAAAAATCGAGATTCTCGTGACGATAGAAATGCAATGGCTTCTGGAACTACGAGGCGCATGTTGTATCTGTGGATACCGCACGTGCTTTAAATACGCGCGTTTCATTCAGCAAACGATAAAGTCTCCCACTTGGCCGCATCCCGATTCAATGGGTGCTACGGCCGGATATGAATGACGCTCTTAGGCCGTCGGCGATAGGAAATTGCCGGAGCGAAAGATTCTTCTGAGATCTTTACCGCGTACTCTCTCAAGTTGAATCGGTGGAAATCTCGCTAATCGAATCAGTCAAACATAATATTCTACCGATGATCAGTGAGTATCCACTAATTTTTAGTGGAAACTCTTCCACTTGGCACTTCCGTCGAATACTTCACTGATTTTGACCAGTGAAATAAATAATATCATTTTTTCTTCTATTGTTTCCGCAGTTAGATTTCTCCGGCGGAAACGGTTGCTGATGTTAACAGAATTTTGCAGCGAAATTTTACCGACTTGCTATGATCTCTAGTGACTACTGACTGCTTCTCAGTGATAATACACCGATTGCACTTTAGACAGTACAATCCTCTCTCGCGAGATTTCGTGAAAACTCATCACCACACCGTACACGATCGTACAGCATAAGATTGTGGTATATCAGATCAAAAGAACGAGTGGTTACGTCGTCGGTTATTTTATCTCTCCCGCGAACCTTATCGGCCACGGTAGGAACGTGATGCAACCAGCGACGACCGACGGACAACCAATTAATACCGACGGCTCTCCGAGTTAGCGAAACCCTGGCCACTTTTATTACGTCCTCTGTACGATCACCGCTATATTTGTCACACGCCTGGTAATTTTCCATAAAACTCTTATCGCCGCCGTAGTAGCGTGTGTAGCGCGCTTAAAATACAGACCCCGCCACTTGAAAGCCCTCTCTCCCCACTCCGCCCACCCCCGCTCGTTTCTGCCCCTCGTGACATTTCACACACGCGGATGAAATGTAAACTTGATGACTTGGTGCGCGTAAACACACGCAACACAAAGCCTGCCGAATAACATGACATTAGAACGATTTCGCGGCACGCGAACTAACTAATGCTCGACGAAACCGTCCGGCGCGAGAGAGAATGAACATCCGATCGCCGCGCGCATCTGCTGAAACAATCCTACCCTGAATTTCGCGCGGCGGGAAATATTTTTTCGAAACATCCCTGCGAGAGGACGCGACGATCGCGGAATCAAGTCTTCCTTTACAGGTGTCGACGGCGGTGGTCGCGTGTGCGCAAACTGTGTACGCGCCAACAGCTCGAAACGATTGAAACGCGATCCCCCTCGATTCGGGCTTTTTCACTCGGCGAACAACGCACGTGCCGACATCAAGTGGACGTGCACGCGATGCGCCGATGAATGGACGGACGAATTAAGCCGAGCGGTCGAACCGGTCGCGACGTAACGACGTGAGAAAGCGCACCATCCCCCCTGAGCGACTCCCTCGTCGACGATCGCTCGACGAACCTTCGACGAACAGTGACAGCCGAATGATTCCCGGGCAACTCGGCCCTGTTAATCGACGTTTCGCGTTGCGATGGTGTCGCGGGGAACGGAAGTGAATTCGTGAGTACATACCGCGTTAACGATCCCGGCCAGCCAAACTGCGGATGCGACGAATCTGAAAGCAGAATTGCATCGGGGTGTCATTTCGAAGTCGAAGTCGCGAACGCGCTACGGGAGTTCGGACCGTGTGGGTAAAAAGACGGAGTCTCGGAGGTGGGGACGAAAGTCGCGCGGGCATCCCGGCTTTTCGCTGAAAGAGAGAGACTTATTCAACTCTCTTCAAGCGCATAGAGATACAAATATAATCGTCATGCACAAAGTATTTAAGCAGCAAAGTGTAATCGGCGAAAATATCATTGGTAACCGTATAAAAGAAAATCATATAATTTCGTTCGGAAGACGATATACTCAAGCCCCGCGATTCAATCGGCAAGCTGTTCCACGGAGTAGCGGATACGATTCTAAATAAAAGAGGGAGCGAGAGAGAAAGCACGATGTCGGACCGGCTCGCGACCCTCCCGGAAACGCAACCTCAGGAGTTAGGCGCGCGCGACATCACTCGTGAAAAATACACCCCTTCCGCGCGTGTCACTCGAACGGCACTTAACACGTTGGCTCCGCGCGCGAATTCGTCCACTGTCGCGGGTCCAAAGTGCGGGGCGAACATCGGTTTCGTCGGGGGCTCGCCTGACGTTCCGACGTCATTGAGAAACGAGAGCGAGGTAAATATTTTCTCGCCACCGAAGAAAACACGGGGCGGAAAAGTCGAGAGGAGCGTTTCGCGTCGGACAATCTCCACGCTCGTCCTTGGGGTCCTCTCGCGCTAGACGGGGGTGAAACTATCCCCTCCGTGATCAGCGCGGTCGGCCCGTCTCTCGGGCGACGGGCCAAAGAAAAGGAGCGAACGGCGAGGAAGAAGACCCGGAGAACGAGGAAAACGAAGAAAACGAGAAGAGGAAGAAGAGGAAGAAGAGATAAGGGGTAGAAAGAGGAAATCGGTCCGGCGGCGGCGAGAGGAGGGTCTCGCAGCTACGGCACGGAGAGAAAAGTAAAATCAGTGGCGACTCACCGCAATCCCAACCGGGTCATGTCGACCTCCCTATTCCGCGACGGGTCTAGGGAGCCGAGAAGCACAGGCTAAAGCACGAGCACCGCACGGACAGGCAGTCACAAAATATCGCGCGGAACCCGGCACCGAGTAGACCGATGGTGTGTGCGGACCGTCCCATCCAGGGAGGGCTCTGAATGGACTTCGGGTGGAGGGAAGGAAGGAAGGTGGAGGCGGCCGTCGCGCCGAGCCACGCCAGCTAGAATTCCTCCGCCGAAAGGACCGGGCGAGAAGAGAGAGTTCCGCGCGCGGTCTCGACGTCTCGCCCGCGCTCACTCGCTTCGTTTTCCCCGACGACGTCGACGGCCAGAGATCGGTCCCCTCTCCTCGTCTCTGCTCGCTCCTGCGAAGAGAGCGATCGGAGTCTCCTGCCAGCCTGCCGCGAGACGGGAAGAAGAAGAAGACGACGAGGAAGGCGAGGGAGTGCACGAGAGGAAGAAAGAGAGAGAGAGAGAGAGGAAGGGGAGGAAGGAACGGACAGACGAGAGAACTCTCCTCCGGGGTTGCTTGGTAGGGGAACGAAGAAGAAGCAGCCGAAGAGAAGAAGAAGGAGGTGGAGGAGGAAGAGAGTACCAGGAGAGGAGTAGGAGGAGGAGCTGGAGTGCCGCCGCCGCGCTCTGCTCGCCTCTGGAGACCCGAACACGTTCGCGCGGTCGCGCGTCGCACGAGGACTGTTGCGCGGCCGCGAGGGACCCTACCGGTGTCGGTCGCGCCGGTTCCGAGAGCTCTCCGTAAGCCGTGTGCTTACGGAACTCAGCTGTGCCGCGGGGGAGAGCGGGGCCCGTCAGGGAGGCCGCGCCACTGCCGCGAGAGTGCCGCGAGAACCCGAGCCGACCACGCGCAAGGATACAGGCCGCCGGATGGAGTAAGAGGGACAGAGAGTGAGAGAGAGAGAGAGCGAGGGAGGGCGGAACAGAGAGACCGGGGGAAGAGAGAGAGAGTGACGGCGTGAAAGAGGTGGAGAAACAAGGATAGAGAGGAAAGAGAGCAAGAGAGCGCGCACCTCCTCCGCCGCCTTCGGGCCTGCCTCGTGTACTCCCGTCTGTGTGTAGCGCCGAGCGATCAGGAGGCTAACCGAGCCGTCTGTGTCTGGCCCTTCGACACGCGGTGCGTCGACAGGCTGACCGGCACGGTTGCGCGCACGCCAGCGCGATACTGCCGTTGCTGTTCAGGCAGCAGCAGGACTACGGGCGCCGTCAGGACGAACGAGGAAGGACCGGCGAGAGAAAGAGAGAAAGAGCCCTCAGAATCGGCCGTAGGACAAGCGAAGGTGGTAGAGAAAGGGAGAGAGAGAGGAGGAGGAGGAGGACCTAGGCCGGAGGCACGATGCGGCCCAGGGCCGCGGCAACGTCAACCACCGGGGACGCGGGCCGCGGCATCTCGCGGCCGATCCCGCTCGTCGTCCTGCGAGCCACCTGCGTCCTTGCCCTACTGGTGCTCGCCGTCACGTGGATACCGGTCGCCGACGCTGTGGTGAGTGTGAGACACGCGTCCTTGAAATGCGGATCGCGCGTACCGGCCTTGCTACCCCCCCGTTTGTCCTCGCGAGGGGTACAGGAGTTACGATCGAGCGATGGTCCGGCCGCGCTAGGGGCTGAAACGTCAGTCGTGCGAACGTAACGCGTCCTCATGCGGCGAATAATTGTTATTTCGTCGGATTATCGCTCATTTCGGAGTTATTAATGCCGCGGTCGTCATTACAATCGAATCCGCGTGTCGCAATCGATTCGCCTTGACCACCTCTCGCGGTGGACTGTTGGCGGCATCGTAACGGCAGGCACGTGACCACGCTTTCATGCACGTAGACTTGTGCCGATGGGACTCGTGATCGATGTCTCGATCGGACGGGTTCTTCTTTAGAGAGAACGGCGTTTAATCGTCGCGTTTTCCGAAAAATTTCCGTAGTTTTTCGTGCGCCTCTCAATGTCAGTCGCGAAATCCCGATAAACGGCTTGTGCTCCGACTGCTTCTTGCATTTTCGTCGGCCATGTTGAATCCGCCATTTTTGATTTTGGGGTTGGTTACATCATGGTCGCAGTCGGGGACCTGTTGGATTCGGAACCGAATTGCTCCTTCGTTGTTTATGACAATCATTATTATCCATTGAACGTCAGTACTTCCGTTTCTTCCTTAGCACAGCTTAATAATCCCTTTTCATGGCTTTGTTACTTGATGACTTAGCACGAAATGTTCTTAATAGTTTTTACCGGTTTACTTCCCACCAGTCTACTTCGTACGACCTCGCGAAATCGTCTGTAAGTACGAAGATCAGATGTCGTCATCAAAAGCGTGCGTGCCGAAGAACATGATTAATCTTCTTCGTAGGAGTTATCTATTGTAGAAGCTAGAACTTGCGTGCTATTTTACAAAGCACCTATTTACGGTAGGCCGTTCGATGCAAATACGTGATATAAAGATCACAAATACACGTCGTTTACCTATGACCCAGATTCACCCCCACCCTTCTTCCCTAAGTAGCCGTAATCGACTATACAGTCAATACTATAACAGTCAAATTTTTATTTCCTTTATTATTAACGAAGGTAATTCAATTTTTCACTGGATTTTCAATGTAATCTTTTAATTCTGCGTGCAATTAAATTTGAATTAAATTGTGTATCTCCTAAATATTTTTTATTTATACTAATGCTAAATATTTTTCCCGAATATTACTTGATATATAACAATTACGGTAATAGAAATAAGAATAGAATGGAATCTATGTTATTACGCAAAACTTATATCATCATAATCCTTACTCACACAGTATCCATAGTACTGATGAGAGGGTTATTCTTTCTGTTCCCGAGAGCACATTGCTACAGAGTTGGCACGTATTGTTCGTACCTATTGGAGCGAGAAATATTCAAGATGACATTCAAATTCCTCCTTATGCCTTGAGGAGTTATTGAATTGCCATAAATCATCTACAAGATGGAACGTAGGCTCTTATAACCGCTTTCTCTTGCATACGACGTTCAAGAAAGTTATTTCGATATGCAACACGCGAAAAAAGAAATATATATGAAAATAAGGAAGAAATATCTCCAGAGATCGACTTCGCGCGTGACGAAGCAAAATACAACGCGCGGAAATCATTTTTTTTTTAAGTTTTTTAGTCGCAAAATATTTATTTGCGCGAAAGATATTGTTACGGGGGAAATCCATGAAGAATCAATAGAAGATTTATGTCGGGACAAAGCGATCTCACCGAGCTCCACGGGGGGGCAGATGACGAATGTAGCCATGATTTCCGATATGAACACAACGTGCACTTAACTAACACAAAATTTCGTGGCGTGGAATAAACCGGTTCGTATAACGATCGGGGGAAAGATGGGGCGATGTGTAACGGATGATTAAATCGAGCGTAAAGCCGATAGTAATGTAAGAGCCCGCGTGGAAAGCGCCCATCAGCATGACTGTGAGCGCCGTGTGTAACCCGAGCGCCTGAAACTGCAGCTATTTGACATAATCTCGTTGCAAAATAGACGTTACGGCATTCCGGTTAATCGATGACGATGCGTGTATTTACACGCTGACCACAGGGTACGGTCTCCTCCAGGCCAGCTCGTGTAATACCGCGAAGCGCTAATGCTCTTCATGCTAAATCCTTAAGCATTTCAAGCGTACTGTCTTAGACAAAAGGACTAAACGAGCGATTAGTTCCAGAACGATTTGTTGGCGCAGCACGCACGCTGTGAAAGGTTACACGGGATCATGGGCAGTGCTTTCACGGGAATTAGTGATTTGTGGAACTAACACGACATGAACTGAGTTAAATATATGTTATTGATTGCACAGTAGTATCACACACACACACACACACACATAATCAAGAAGACAATAAGATCGACGATTATTGAAGGGTTGTTTGTTAGATGGAAGGTTATCTCAAAAGTAATGCGTTTGTTAATTCCGCGAACGATCTTTTATATTTGCGGTAAAGACACAAGTTTTATATTACCCGTGTATACAATATTTTATATTTTTATATAAAATTCATTTTAAATGATAATGCGCGTGAGTGTGAAATTAATTGAATTTTCGTTTGTATAAATTCTTAAGTATTTTGTTTATATATATATTATATATATTGTTGTTATATATTGTTATATATTGTTGTTAGTTTTATATGATATAATAATGGAAACGCCGTAATGTTCGATGATAATTCATACAATTTATATAAAGAAGAGACTACTCGCGCCGTTGTACCTGCCAATATCGTTGAAATCACCTGGTAGACAAGTATGTGGGCGATTTCGACGCCCGACCAGGGGACGCATTCGTTGCGGAAAACATGAAAGAAAGTATCCGGCACAAAAGAGGAGGTTCGGTAGTGACCAATAGTCGATGGGCCTCCACTTTTATGCGTCTTTTTATCCCCCTCAGACGAACGCGCACACACACATCGTTTACTCACCATTATACGAACGAAAGTCATTCAGAATCGTGAGAATTCGCCGTGCATCCAGTCGGAATGTCGCCGACATTCCGATTACTGCATCATGAAGAAATTTGTCACACACCAGGAAATGCACAACAAGCGCCAAAACTAACTTATACTGCGGCAGTAAAAGTCCTGCCAGATATACGCTTACTAGAATGAAGCAAACGTAAAGTCTCTCAGGTAGATCTTTCCCAAAGATATGTACGCAATAATTCTGTACACAATTCTTGGCTTCACCACATTTATTCTCCACTTTATTTGCTTCGATCACGATATATTTTGCGTAAAATTGTTTCTGCGAAATAATGGCACTGTGCAAATGATTAATAGGAGCCCACGCGCGAGCTGCATTGCGCAATATTTTCTCGTACTTTGAGTTTCCAAAATTCGGACAAAGTTTCATATGCAAATGTCCACGAAGTAGAAATATGTATCCGACTTTATCTCGTTCTAACACCCCCGATCTATAGCCGTAATAGCCGTTTGTCTTCAGGACGACGCAACAGCTCGGCTGAAGATTCGCTCTCGCGTAGGTTGTTATTACTAAATTATTCAGGAGAGATCGATATGCATATACGCTTTGTTTAAACGTTCTCTTCCTACTGATATTCGTGGGATTGTCGAAATTTATTACATGATCCGTGTGAAATGAAACGAGATTTCTCTCACATCGTATGTGAAAAAACGCAGAAAGATTGAAAGCGGGGGAATATCAGGAGAGATTTGTGTAAAAAGGAAACGCTTTCCAATCTTGAATCATTAACGATAACAAAGGTACTTATTTCAAGTGATAACGTTACGAAATAATTCACAAAAGCGAACCACAATATATAAACTCCCAACCACAAACTGTGGGATGTCTGTTACTGTTGCGATAACGATAAAGCTTTCCTGTTGTTCGTCCGAAGAAGAGAATCATTGCGGAATGATTTATGGCTCGGCTCAGTTGCCGCTTTGTGGGCTCGCAGACGTGTGACGAAGCATCGAACGATCTAATATCTAACCGTATGTCTCATCGTATAAATTTCCTCCTAAATAGCCCTAAAGAAATAATAACATCCGTAGTATCAGGATGCGTCGTCCATTGACGATAATCTTCGTACTTTTGCGCTTTATAATATTCGATCGAATAAAGAATCCGTTATGAGACGGTGGCGGGGGATGTCGTAGATCTATCTGAGAGAAAGAAACAAAACACGCTTTCGTGTGACTTGCACCATAAAGCTACACCCACCGATTCGATATTTCGAAATATGTCACTGCGCGTGGTTCCCCGAAATATGCCCGTTTAAATCTCACACACACACACCGCGGAATATGTAAAATAGTTCCACCTACGCACCCACGTCGCGGAAGTCCTACGGAAGATACGATGTATTCTACTTTAGAACATCCGTTACACCTTTCTTCCTACTCTTTTCTCCGCGAGAACAATTTCACCACGCATAATTCGAAAATGAGGACCCACGATAAATGTTTGCGTCAGAATTTACGAATTTGCGAATACGCGTGAGAGGCAGTATTCGGTAACGCGCGTCTGCACGTGCAGTCAGTGCCCAAAGAAAATAAAAAAAATATGCTCATCTCAATGCGGTTACGAAAGTTTCATTCGCTCTATTGGACGGCAGTGCGTTTCCCAGTTTGCAGTGAGTGACATCACGTTTTCGTGTAATCCAACACGAACGCGTCGCCCCGTTCATCATCGTTAACTTTCCGTTTTGATGACATCCGATAGCATAAATGACATAGCGGCGATGTAAAAGATACCTCACGGCAACAGTGCAATTTTTATCTGTACTTTAACAGCGTTACACCTCAACTTGTCCTCGCAGCGTGATACAATATGAAGCGCACGTCATCGCGAAGAAAGGAAAAGTCATTAGCGGTCAACGACGTGTTCGTGTTCAATATTACTAAAATGTGACGTCACCGAGCGCCAAGCGGCCTGAGAATATACTTCCAAATGAATCGCTGACTGTTGCTTGAGTGACTTTATAATTTCATACCTTTTTGGTTACGT